TTTCGGGGTCCATCCTTCCTCCACCCAATACTTCTCAACCAACCAAGCCTCACCACCGAGTCCCAGTGTTCCTGTCCCAAGTGCTTATGTTCTTTCTCTCCCCATCTTCTCGTCTCCTCACAATCTTGTTTAGATTTGACAAATTTGCTCACATGAATGAGAAAATGAGTTATAATGGCTCACAGTGCAGTGTCTCTTTGGGCTATTTGCATTTCAAAAGGAGTCAAACCTTAAATCAGAAAACGCAAAGCTCTTGATGCAATTTCAGTTACTAATGAGAGAGCAGCAGTACTCTGGTTTCTCTTCAGATGGTACAAATCTTTCGCCTTTTACTAATGAGAGAGCAGCAAAAGGCTTTGCAGAAGAGACTGCACTTAATTCTTTTACGTTTGCATCATGTGCAGAACTGGTGAGACTTAGCCATGTTATCAGTGCCATGTACCATGCCTCAGTTTCCTCATTTGTAAAGTCAGGGCTGACAGCTGCTTACAGGGCTCTCTGGGATCTAAGCCTGGGATCTTTGCCGCAGAACTGGCCACATGGGCGACTGAGCAGAAATGTTTAAGTATATCCTCAACCCTCTGCTCGAAGCAGGACAGACTACCCTCAACCCTCTGTTCGAAGCAGGACAGACTACCCTCCAATGGACCATGGGCCCAGGGAAGACTCAAGCTACACCCACTTGGTTTCTGTTTCCCTAGCAGGCAACTGACTCCCCTCTCTTTGTAGCTGGACAGGAAAATACAGATTTTCATAGCTACACAGAGGGCGTAGCCCAGAGTGTCCTGGGAAGCTGGGCCATTTACACAGAAAGAGCCAGCAGATCTAGTATAGACAAAGCCAGGGCACACTGTACTTGCAGGGCCTCAATTTTATCATCTGCCAAATGGGAATGCTGCTGTCTCCCTGTCTTCCTCCCTGGCTGGAAAGGCAGCTCTAAAGTGAAGAAGTGTTCTGTGAAAAAGGACAGGGCACAGTGACTCTGGCAGCTGCATTTCGTGGAAAAGCAGAACCTATCCACATGGGGCTGCAAGATGCTCCTGTGTGCTGTGCACGAGGGAGAGAGATCAGCTGGCTTGTGCTTCTCTCTTCCTCTCTCCAGTGACCTCCTTCCCTGCAAGGGTCACCTCCCCACAGGTATGTTCCATCTCTGGCCAGCATGGGTATCCAGCATCCCAGCCTCTGGAGATGTCTCAGCCATAACACTCCCAGGCTGGGGAGGTCACCAGGGCTCTTGGGAAGCCACTACACTGGGATCAGACTGACATGGGACTGAGGAGTGGATCTGAAATGTTGTCCTTCTGTTAGACAACAGAAGGTTCCTTCTAGCAGAACCACAGTGAGGGCCCAGTGGACAAGGTGGACAGCCCAGATGGACTCAGCAACTCTACGGAAGGTGTTTCAGGGGTTGGGAGAAGGCTTCTGGTCTTCAAAGACTGCTCCTGGCCATATTTCTGGTCCAGTTACCCAAGAAAAATCCCCTCTCCACTGCTCAGATAGTAATCAGACCTGTGGGCTCCTGTGCCCAAGCTGGATAATGGAAATTAGTGGGGAGACAGGTTGTGAGCCTGCTCTGAGGGATGCAGACTTGAATGTCTTACTGCAACTTGGCCCTCCTGGTCTTGTTTCTACTCCCCAGAGCCACACAGAATAAATAAGCAAGAGCCTTTCCCCAGCTCCTTCTCCTCTCCTGCCCTCTTTGCTACCCTAACATCCCGGGGTCTCCTGTGAGAAGCACCCTGGGTCCATCTCACTCTCAGCCCTCACAATTTTCCTCAAGAATACAAGCCAGAGATCCCTGTTTTAAATGTGTGCTGCTGAGTGTGAGGACCTCAATTCAGAACTCCACATTTCCTGTCCACTTACATTTCCTTGTCTTCATTTCAATCCTACACTCCAGGTAAGATGTTGAAGTGAACCTCAATCCCCTGCCTGGTGGGTGTTACGGCTCCAAGCTGCAGATTTGATAAGCACACCTCTCATTTACTCTATTAGCAACCCTGAGACTGCTATCAAGCCTTTAATGAAAGCCCTGTTGTCAGTCAGAGCCTTGGCATTGTCTCCACGGTTCTCTATCAGTCCACGGGGGTGCATGACAAATCTTTCTGGTATCTTGCTGAACTGCTATGATTCATCTTTTTGACTTCTGAAAGATGAATTTTGGCAGGTTTAGTCTGAATTGTTCTCAGCGAGCGTTTGCATAGATTCCTAGTAAACACTACCCCCCCCCCGCAATGCTGGGCGTGGAATCCAGGGCCCCCACGCATGTTAAGCAAACATTCTGCCATTGAGCCACATTTGCAGCCCTAAAAATATTTTTTTGTCAAAAAAAGATGTGTTTGCAAGTACTATAAAACAATTCTGAACACTACAAAAGAGATAACAAGCATCCTGAAAATCTCACACTCAGGGTAACCCATACGGGTTTTGTTTCATTGAGACAGAGTCTCATTATGTAGTTCCTGCCGGCCTTAAACTCACAATGTAGCCCAGGCTGGCTCTCAGTGATCCTCCTGCCTCAGCCTCCAGAGTACTGGGATTACAGGCATGTGCCACCACACTTGGCCTCCATGTGGTTTTGATGCTTGAGTCACATCTCCTTGGCCCACAAAGTTCAGTGGGGATGGACAGCTCCTTGTACCGCAGATGCCCCAGGGAGCTGGTGCCCAAAGGTCTCCCTGCTTTGCCTTCCCTGATGCCACACACAGGTACCACTCAGCACTGCAGGATGGGAGGAGCCCTCCACCAACGGGAAAGGTCAAGCAGTACTCAGCACCCCATCTCCTGTGTGGCAAATCACTGCTACTTTCTTAGAGGGACCCCAGGGTATGGAGCCCCCAACTGCCCACAGCTAAAACTGATGTGCCTGTTTTTGCTTTATTTTTCACCTTTCTTAACTTACTCTTCTCACTAACTCACTTCTGCTTCTCTGCACTGCTCCCCAGACCCAAGTCCTTGTGTTAGGAAGTGTACTTAGAAGCAGGGGACTCCAAATGAATATGTCACCTCCTCTTTGCACACACATTTCCTATGTATGTCCAGTAGTAAGCCCATACAGCTTTGCATAAAGGGGATCATAGTACGTGAGCTCTAAAATCTGCTTTTTTGTTACTAACATAATACATTCATAATATGAACTCACATTGCAATCTGTACACTGTAGGCAGTGCACATATTTCCACATCAATAAATAAAATATGGCGTGCATGAAAGGAGAGAAGGTTAGCACTTCCCCTGACAAGGATGGACGAAGCCCTCAGACATGCATATGGTTAACACCTTGTAACCTTCTTAGAGGCAGCTAAACAAACGCCATTTGAGCCTGGAGTGGTGATGCACGCCTGTAATCCCAGCACTCTGGGAGGCTAAGCCAGGAGGATTGCCTTGAGTTTGAGGCCAGCCTCAGCTACATAATGAGTTTAAGGCCCTCCTGTGCCACAAAGCAAGACTCTGTCTCAAAAAAACAAAACAAAAAACCCAGTAGGATCCTGGGAGTATAATTTGGTGGAAGAACACTTGTCTAGCTAGCATGCATGAAACCCTGGGTTTGATTCTCAATTAAAACAAAACAAAACAAAACAAAAAAACCCTCTTTGAAAATCGGGACATTTGCCCGCTCCAGTTTTCTAAACTTCCTTCATTCTCTGTAATTTCCTCTAAGGCAGTGATTATATCTGTGAATGCTCTGGGTCCCTGGATGTCGTATGTCGGGCGTTGAGGAATGAATTCATTAGAGGTGGCTTGGAGCCTCTTCCTAGCCCTGTATGTACAGATTTCAATTTCTTCCTTACATACTTATTTTGCAATTTGAAGTAAAATTTCCCATGTCATGATCTGCCTGCTTTTAATCCCCAAGCTGCCACAGGATTCCTTCTTGCTCTTATTTAGATCTTTGCCATCTCCGCAGGCTGCTGTTCACCAGGGCACATGCACTTTGCTATTCTTACAAATCCTGCCAATCTTGCAGCTGCATCCTGGGTCATGAATTCCTCCCCGCCTCGTGCTGTGTGCTTTCAAACCTCGCTCATGGAAAGCCTACAAGCGCAGCCTCCATAAAATCCCTTTTTCATCTTGACGGTAGCATTCGTAAGTACTTATTGAATTTCAGAGTTATATTGCCTCTCACAGCAGCCTTCTCTTGTGGCATGAATTTGTCCAACACAGCTTGTCTTATGTGAGGCTCCCAGCTACCTCAGGAAGCCGGTTGAATGCAAGCTTCCCCATTCAACAGATCCGTAACCACCAGTGGCACAGAGACGTTTATGCGCAGTGTCAGAGACACCCAGCAAACCAGCAGACTGGTCCCCAGTCCTTTAGTTTTTTAGCCTTTATGTAGTTCCCTTACCCCTGAGGGCTGAAAGAGGGCTCTGGACTCTGACCTGGTGAGGCTGGGGCAAGCAGCCTGTGCCTTGGGCCACTACCCTTTAAGGTTCTGAAGACTAAGTCCATCCTGCCCTGGCTTTCCCCAGCGAGAGAAACTCATCACCCCTCCTCACCAGCAGCAGGGTTACAGTCACTTCCTGCTCAGGTGTGAGTGACCCTGTGCAGGCAAACAGGCAGACAGCAGACAGACAGACAGACACATGCATACACACACACACACACACACACACCATGGACACAGAGGAACCCTCTAGTCTCTCTCTCTCCCTTTCTCCCTCTCTTCCTGTCTTTGTCTGTCTCTTTTATCTCTGTATCTCTGTCTCTCTCAGGCACACACACATGCACGCAGACACACACACACACACACACACACACACACACACACACCCCATGGACACAGAAGCACCCCCGCTGGCTCTCACACACAGACACACACGTCCACTACAGAGGCATCGCCAGGGCCCCTCTCCCAGTCTCTTCTGTCTGTCTCTGTTACATGCACCGAGTACCACAGGTTCTGGTTCTTGCCAGCCACGGTCCATCAGTCCCCCACCCCACCCTCTCCATCCCCTTGGTCCCCTGTCCTCCCAGTCAGTATCCTGGTCCGGGTCACTCACCCTCCATGCTGCTCACTCCTGCCCACTCTGGACAGTCTCCGATGGAGGGAGGCAGCGGGCACCCTCAGGTGATCAGGAACACGGAGGTGACTCAGGGCCCTGGGTGCCCTGCCCTGTGCCCCTGCCAGTGCGCCCCGCGGCCCAGGTCGGGTGGAGGCGGGCAGGGGGCGCTCGCAGGCCCCAGCGCCTGCCCGCTCGGCCTCTCCGGGGCTAGAGCAGGAGCGCAGCGCGGCTGCCCGCCGGACTCTGCGGCCCGCAGCCCACACCGCCCTCCGCCGGCCCAGAGAAGGAGGGGGCTCGCGCGGCGCCGTCACCATGGCACCCGGCACACCTGTGCGGGCCAAGCTAGAGCGCCCCGGCAGGCTCCCCCCAAGAACTCTCTCCGCGTGGACTCAGCTCCGCTCCAAAGTAGAGGCACGCCCCGCCGCCCTCTGCAGCCCCAGCGGCCACGCCCAGCAACTCCCTCTCCTGGTGTCCCACAGCCCCTCCCGGGTCTCACTCTTCACGGGGCCCCTAGTCTGGTGTCCAGCTTCCTGGGCCCTCTTGGCAAAAAGGAGAGGTGAGCACACAGAAGGACGTTAAGAGGAATGGGGACCCCCATCAGTTCAGAGAGCCCCCCAAGAGTGGGAAAAGAGGTTGGGTGGATGCCTACCGGCTTTGGAAGTACCCAGCCCAGGCACTCCCCAGGTGTGCACCCCTGGGCAGTGTCTGTTCCTGCGTTTGTAAAATGGTTTGGAGGGAGGAAGGACAGTGTTGTCAAAGTTTCTGCTCAGAACTTAGTAGATGCTCAATTAATAGTCTCCTGAGCTGGATTGGTGACCACAGCTATCCCACCCTTTGCAAGTCAGGCAGCCAAGCACCTAACACTCAGCATCCTAGATTCTTGCCACGTGAATGATGATCTCAGCTTCCAGGTAAGAAAGTGAATGGTCTATTTCTTCCTTTACGGGGAGCCAGAGATTTGTTCCCTTTTGAAACTCACTAGCAGTGCTGAGATTCTCATGCAGATGAGTTGAATCTCACTTGATGCAATGGAGCCCAACCAGTCAAGTCATCTCCATCATGTGGGGCCAGGGCCTTAGTAGAAGTGTTTCTGTGAAACTCCTCAGGTGATGCTAACGCATGGACGAGGTAGGGAGTCACTGTCACAGCCCTTCTTGGCCTCCGTCTTTTACAAGAGCCCTGGCCTCATAGAGCTCATGGCCACCCATCGGGAGATACTCATCAAAGAGCAAGTGTGTGAGTGATCATCTTGTTGTGGGCCACCACCTCATGGTCCCTGGAGATCTTCCTCAATCAGATATCCTTGTGTCCCTTTCCTGCTGACATCTCCCTCTGGGCTTCCGGGACCACCTGCACTTGCCCATGCTGCTCAGGACCCAGCCCCGTCCCCAGCACCACCTCCACTTCTGCTCCTCTGTCATCAGAAACGTGCGTTCTTTGCTGAGCAGCGCAGTCTTCTTCCTTGGCATGTGCTGTGCTCCCTGGCTGGTCCTCCTGTCCACTCTGTTCCATCCTCTGCTCTCTGCTCTTAGCCCAGTAGTTCCCAGACTTTGTTGCACTCTAGAACACCAAGGAGATTTTTAAATCAAGGTCTTCCCCAGGCACAGGTCATGCCCCATACTAACTAACTCAGAAAGTCTGGGGCCTGGAGCGGTTGTGGGTAAAGACCCCTAGAGGCTTCCTTGTGCAGCGAGGTTTGGAAACCACTGTCTGTGACATTGCAGTAATATTTCTGTCCTGGTGGCTGTCTTCCAAGCTGGTCTTCAACCCTCTCTTGGTGTGAGTCTCTTCAGGCTGCTATCACAAAGTACCATTAGGCTGGCTGCCATAAGAGTAGAAAGGTATTTCATCACATTCTGGAAACTGGGTAGTCCAAGTTACAGATTTCAGCCTGCTTGGTTTCCAGCGAGGGCCCTCTTCCTGGCTTGCAGATACTGTCTTTCTGCTGTATGCAGCATGGCCTTTCTCGGGTGTACATGAGAGTGAGCTCTCTGGTGTCTTATATACACTAATCCCAGGGGATCAGGACCCAAGATTTATGATCTCGTTTAAGCGTTTCCCGTGGGTCCCCTCCCCAAATACAGTCACAGGACAGTGGTTAGGGCTTCAACACATGAAGTTACAGAAACATTCAGTTCATGGCATCCTACAGGAGTGCAGACCCTGTCGCATTCACTGCAGTGTGACTGCTACGGTCTCATCTAAAATGTCCCCAAAGTCTCGTGTGTTTGGAGGGAGGGCTTTTGGGAAGAGTGGATCGGGGGCACGGTGCTCATCAGTAGAAGCATCATCGGTGAGTTCATGGCTGATGCACTAGTAGGAGGGGTGGCTGGTCAGGGGAGGTGGATCACCGGGGGCAGGGTGTGACCTGGAAGAGTGTGTTCTTGTCCCCAGACCCCTCCTCTGCTCTCTTCCTGTTCGCTTTCTCTGCTTTTGGTCTCTGTAAGCTGAGCGCCTCTCCTCTTCCATGCTCTTCCCCCATCACATTTCTGCCCTATGACCAGCCGACCATGACTGAGACCTTGAGCCAAAACAAACCTGTTTTGCGTGTGTCGGGTGTTTTGTCAGCTCCATCCCAGCATCCTTTCTGGATGCAGGCCCTCAGGGGAACCTCTCACACCCACTTCTCCGTAAGCAGAGTTGGAGACGTATTCTGAGACCTGTGGGAGAATTGTGAACCAGGAAGCCCGCCTCCCTCCCCCAGAGCAGCCTCCGAAGAAAATCTGCAGAATGTCTTAAAATGCTTATTAGAGAGCTCTTCCCAAGGATGTGGGTCACTGCCATTATCTGTATTTATAAATGACAAGGTCTCTAATGGCTGGCTTATTCCCACAGTCACAGAGCAGCAGCAGCAGGGGCAGCCTTGGAAGAGAGGCCAGATATGCCAAGTAAGTGTGCTCCCAAGTAAGTGTGCAGAAAGCACAGCCTGGTCACAGGCACACAGTGAGCTGCTCGTATTTATCGTCCTGGTAAAGTGCTTTTCACCTCTCCTGTGTGGTCCCTTACAGGGACCCAGAGAGAACCCAGCCCAGGAAGCTTGGGCATTTGTCTGGGCTCTCCACTGACTCTCCGAATACATCTCCTACTTTCCCTCTGGTACATTCTAGAACATTCTTTTTTTTTTTTTTCTAGAACATTCTGAAACACTTCCTCAGCAACTCAGGGCTACAGAGTGGGAGAGGTTTGGGCCAGAAGAGCTTTCCTACTCTGACAGTCTACCTTGTCCTCTGGAAAGTCCAGGTGTGCAGAATCTCCCTGAGCAGGCATTGGGGACAACCCAAGAAGTCCAGCTCTCTGGGAGGGCTGGGGCAGCTCACAGGCCTCTTCCAACTTAGGGGAAGCTTCCTGTAAGCCATTGCCTGGGCTCTGGAGACTGATTATAAGAAACTTGGCTCTGATCAGAAGGCCTGGGTTTGGAAGCCAGTTACCTTTCAGTCTGCCCCACTCTGCTCAGGTCTGACCTAAGCCGGGTGCTCCACCTTCTCCACACCTGTCTCTTCATCTGTACAATGGAAACACAAAGAGCAGTGCCGATTAAATGAGACAGGAAGCAGAAAGCACAGCCTGGTCACAGGTACACAGTGAGCTGCTCGTATTTATCGTCCTGGTAAAGTGCTTTTCACCTCTCCTGCCCCTTCTTGCACCTGTGGTTCTTTCCTTCAAGCTTTGGGCAACTCCAGCCTTTTTTCTAGCAGAAACACAGAGCAGTTCACAAAGTTGATCCCGGGGATGTTAACATTCAAAAGCCACCATCCTGGGGGAATCTGTTGCAGAAATTATTACCTCAAACCTAGAAAAGATGTCAGCTGGTACCTGCACGCAAGGAAACACAGCTCAAGCCAGCCTGTGACCGTGTACACTGTAACATTGTTCGTCATTGCTAATTACGGGCACTGACTCTGTGAAGTTTCATGTCAATTTGTGTTGCCTGCGTCCCTACATTTTTAGTGCAACCCCAGTGCTATGAGTCTAGTCATCTGAGTAGCAAGGGCCCAGTGTAGCTGCACTGTCAACTTCCTTTTAGGAATCCCTTTCTAAATCCTGACAGATCACAGGGAGAGGACATGCTTGTCCAAATACAAGGATCTCATATTAGCAGGCTTTTAGGCAGTGAGACCAGAACAGGGGCAGGCAGGCAGCCCATTCTCCCTTGGGCCTTTCAACTTAGGAAAAGCCCCAGCCGCAATCACATGGCTTGTGAGGGCCTGGGAAGCCCAAAGCGAGAGCGATTCCCTACTCTTTTTTAGTCCTATGGAAACAAACTCTCGGTAGAAAGGATAGGTAATGTGGGATCTGAATTTCACCGGTAGTGGCCCTACCAGACAGCAGTTCTCTCCAGCAGAGGTCCTCCAACAGCAAAGGTGCCACCATCTACTGTTCAGGCCTTCTGGTGTGCACTGTGTGCCTCCTATGTGCCAGACCTTGCTTAGGAGCTGGGGGTGCAGCAGAGACCAAGACAGATTTTAGTGGGAGGGAACAGATAGAATACATACAGAGTAGATTAGAAGCTGAGCACTATGAAGAGAAAATCGAGCAGGTTGAGGACGATAAAGAGGCTGGGACTGGGGCTGGGGATTTAGCTCAGCAGCATAAGTACCTGCCTTGCAAGGAGGCGGTCGTGAGTTTGATCCCTAGTACCGATAAAAAGGAAAAAAACAAAAAAACAAAACAAAAAAAAAAAGAGGCTGGGACTGCAATGGAGAGGTGCAGCAGGATGCTTAGGAAAGGCTTTCATTAGCCAAGTATGAAGGAAATAAAGGAGTCTGCCCTGGGAATATGGGGTGGCAAAGGCAAAGGCCCTGAGGCAAGAGTGCCCTGAGGTGTCAGGGAAATGGTCAGGAGCAAGACCAGTGAATCAATAGATGACACCAGGCCTGGAACACCATCTGAGGTCTCTGCTTTGCCCTAAGGAAATGAGAACCATTCAGAACAAGTAGATACTGTAGGGTCTAGCAGGATCCCTGCAAGCTTTGTGTAGGGTTAGGCTGCAGAGGTGCGAGGCCGCTTCTAGAGCCTGCTTTCCTGGGAATCCACCTGAGCTGACCCAGCTCCTCATAAACAGCCCAGAGACAGTGCCACCACCCTGGCACAACTCTAGGATGCCATTCTCATAGCTCTCCACGTAGACAGCGTCAGGTATAGATGCTGTACTGTGAATGACCCCCCAGCATCATGCATTAGGGTAGCCTCACGGAGACTAATTTAGGTGCTGCCCGCCTACAAGGAAGAAGCTGCCAGGCGCCTTTTCTGGTGTGAATCTGGCTGTGCACAGGTGGCGATGCATGGGCTCTGGGACAATTCCCAAGTGCCTCGTCATCGACCTCATTAGCTATCGTTGGAGCCCGGACAGCACATACATAGATCCCTGAACAGCGAGGCTGGGAGGAGCAGAGGGCTGCCATCACCTTTCCTGGTGGGGCTTGACCTGCCAACCCCAGCCGTGGCCCAGGGGGGTGCAGGGGCAGCTCTGCTTGCCATGAGGTAGGGTTACTGGCAGGAAACCAAAGGCTTTGCCTGCCCAGTGGCACAATGTTGTGTACTTACCTATTAGGTGTTGACATTTGGCATAGATAATCTTGGCATTCTTTTTCCTCTCTACAACACTGGGGATTGAACACAGGGCTTCTGCAATGAGCAACATCCCCGCCCTTTTTTATTTTGAGACAGGGTCTTGTTAAATCACTAAGTTGTCCAGGGTGGGCTCAAACTTCTGATCTTCCTGCCTCATCCTCCCAGAGTGTTATCATTATAAGTGTGTACCACCATGTCTGGCTTTGATACCCATTTTACAAATAAGGAAAGAGTTCAGAGAGACCTTTCACAGGAATATGGAGAAGAAATACGCCAGCAAGACAAAGTGACAGGTCACTTCTCCTATCCAAGTCACCCTCCTGAGAGGGTGTCAAGTCCCAGGCTCACAGCAGAGGCCCTGGTCTTGCAGCAGCAAAGCAACCCAGGCTGAACAAGACCCAGCTCTGCTGCTCCTGGGCCTGTGCTAGCACCACAGCCCGTCTCTTCCATGCAGCAGGGGTCAAGAGAGTGACGAAACACACACGTGCCTGCCCAGGGCCTGTGGCTTTGTCCCTTCCTCAAGGATGAGCCCAGCCTGTCTGGCCCCAAGACACTACTCAGAGCATGGTCTGGCTGCTCATGGTCCCAAAAATTTCCCTGCTCAACATCCTCACCTGCATTCTTCCCCCAGGGATGCCTTTCCCATCTTGGCACCTCTCCCAGGTCCCTGCTGAGGCTTTCTGGGGCGGCTGCCAACTCACCCTGCCAAGAACTGTGCCCTGCTCCCCTGCCTGGCTTTCTGCAAAGGGACAGGCACATTCCAGGTAAAAACTAGCTTCAGAACAGGTTTTTTTTTTTTGGGGGGGGGGGGGTCCAACACAGCATGTGGGGAAACTTACAATTAAAACATAGCCCCACATAGCTAATTTTCCATTTTTCTACTCTCTTTTTCCTGTAACTACTCTCCAGGAAACCTGCCCAGGAGGAGAAGTGGCAAATAACTGTTCATTTCAGATTTTCTGAGCCATTCAAAAGAACATCAAATTGCTCAATTCTTAATAGTACCAAGAATTTATACCCTAAATCTATGTTTTGAGACAGAGTCTTACTATGTAGTTTAGGCTGGCCTTGAATTCACCATGATCCTCCTGTCTCAGCCCTCTGAATGCTGGAATTTCAGGAATGTACATCATGCCTAACTCCAAAATTTTTGCAACCCTTTGCCTCAAAATTTTCCTTTGTTGTGTCTACCTAAGATATGTCATGATCTTTTTTTTGAACTGGAGATGGAACCCAGTGCCTTTGCACCACCTTATATTCCAGCCCTTTAAAAATTTTTTAAAAATGTATTTTGAGACAGGATCTTACCATATCACTGAATCGCCCAGGCTAGGTTGAAACTTTTATTCTTCCTGCCTTGCTTCCCAGAGTGCTGGGATCATAAGCCTGTGCTACCAAGCCTAGGGAGTATGTCCTGGTCTTTCCCCACCCCTAAGCCAGGCTTCCATGAAAAGGCTACAGAAGTCCCATGGCCCCTCAGATAGCCTAACAGTGGTGGTTAACATAGAGCTGTGTTACTGAAAGCTCCAAAAAGTTCGCTATCACTGGCTCAGAACAAACTGTGCTGGTTCTCCCTATAGCAGGAAGGGTCTGACCAACAGGCAGACCTGCTAATGTCCCTGTGAACCAACACTGGACAGGAGCTCTGCAGGAATGAGTCCTGTCTGATCTTTGAGGGGAAGAGGCTCATGCACAGATACTAGAAGTGAAAGCATAGTCCTCAAGACCTGCGAAGCTGTGATCCTCAGGGAAATCCTAGTGTGGCCCTTTCATTTTATAGACAGGAAATGGGACCTGGAGAGGGATCACAAAATAAGCCAGAACTGTCACAGAGAAGTGAATACATACCTGTATCATGCAAACACACTGCTTGCTGACCACTGCCCTCTGTGTCTGTGAAATAAAAATCATGGAGTGTCTAACCCACAATTCAAACTACACTCAAGTTGGGCCCATTAAAAACGGACAGAAACCTTGCATAACCTTGAAGCCTGAGCCATGCTGAGTCTGACTCTGTTTCTGACTGTAGATGCGTGGTGGGGCTGAGAATCTGCATTTCTCACCATCTCTCTGCTTATGCTGATGTTGCTTGTCCTAAGACTGCTCTTTGAGAGCTATGGACCTAGAGGAATGAATTATGGTTATTCCCACACTGCAGGAGGAGAGAACCAGGCCTCACAAGGAGATGGTCCAGGTCTGGAAATCAGAGCCATGTGAGGGCCACTGCCAGAGTGGAGACAGCCACACCCAAGCCTCTCTCTGTGAGTCAGTGCCATCTGAGGATTGTAGGGGGGACAGAACCAGGCCTCACCAGGAGATGATCCCCGCCTGGAAACCATACCATTTTCATTGTTTTCTTGGGCTGGATTTTATTCTTTTGTTTGGTTTGATTACGTTAAATCTGATAGCAGGAGCAACTATTTAAAAGATAGCAAGACATATTACAGTAGCCATTTTGAATTTACTATTAGCTTATTTTGAAGCCCTTTATTGCATTTTATTATTTCTACTCTATTTTGTTCTGATTTTTACTATGTCCAAAGGATCTACTGCTATTTTGAAGACAAGTGGCATTATGGTAACTATTGATTTCATAAGGTTTTGAAGTCCCGTATCACTTATACTAGTTTATCTTGATTGGTTTTATTGTTTTATTTTCTTGTTTTATCCTCTTTAAAAAAAAATGACATGGCTGGCACCTATCAGGGGCAACTGGGAATCCAGTCTCTCATCCTCCCCAGGGGTGACGCCTGGTAGTTCTGAAGCGGCCCAGCCGCAGGTCATGCATCAGTCTGCCTGGCTGCCCCTGTGACTGTTCTGAGTCTCACTCCACCCTGGCTTTCTTTACCTGGGATTTCCACAAAAGGGTCAGCCTCTCTTTGCAAGGGGACCGGTGTCAGGCAAGCTCCTGGAGCTGTGTGTGCAGAGAATGAATCTAACACCAACCAAGCAGATGAAACCAACACATTCTTTATTGCAGGCTAAAGCTAGGGGGCTCACTCACACTGGAAGCCTGGATTGGGGGGCTTCTCTACCTTCCCAGGCTTCCTCAAAAGAGGCTAGGGCAATCTGCCCAAGCAGAGGAGAAAACAACTTCCAACAGCAACCCGTTCAGAGGACCTGGGGTGAAGACCCAGGAAACAGGAGGCTTGTGTGAAGCAGAGAGGCAGGATTAGAGGGCCTCGTATGCTCCAGCCCCTATATCCTTGAGGCTGCGGTCACTCCCTTCATGGAGAGTGTCATGCAAACTGGAAAGATCTAAGAGGCCAAGGTCTCTTTGGCCAGGTTAGGAGGCGGCTGATCATAGACTCAGGTGCCTGCAGGTAGCAGGGAAAGCTAAGAGCCTTCACCATCCACTCCAAGAGCTTCCCAGATTACCCCCCGGCCCTCGATTTTCAAAGTAGAAAGTACTTGTTGGGGTCAGCTGGGGACCTTGCTAAAATGCAGGTTCTGACTCAGGAGGCTGCAAGGAGGCCCGAAATGCTCTTTCTAACAGGCTCCCCAGTGATGCTGCAGTTGCTTATTCACTGACCAGGCTTCCCTTTGCAAGGCTGCAGCCATTCGGTGGCTGCACATTTCCCAGAGCAGCAGGCTCTTCCTCAATAAGGAAACCCCATTCCAGGTAGAGTGGGTGGGGCCAGCCCAGTCCAGACTGCACTCGAGCCTCCCATGCCCTCGGTGTTCATAGCTGAACTCAGTGATCCTAGAAGCCCTGCCTGACCGCCTCATCCAGAAAGCCCTTCCTCCAGAGTTTGGCCAACCAGGCCATGGTAGGAACAAGGTCTCACTTGGGACATGGAGTACTGAGTGACAGGGGCTAATCAGTGTCCAACCTTTCAGCCCCTTGCCCAGACACAGGAGACCTGGGAGGAAAAGAGACGTGGGGTCAGGGCAGGGATGGGGTGTTCTGAGATGGGGCTCCTGCTCTGAGCTCTGGACAGCCTAAACCTAGGGGCGATGAAGTGCCCAGCTCTGCCCATCTGAGGTCTCAGTGGCCTCTCCAGACCTAGACAGAGATACAGACCAGGTGACCTGGGGTGCTTGGAGTCACTTGCTCCACAGGTGAGACATAGGAGGTAGATACTAGGGATTCAAAGTGCAGGTTTTACCAGAAAGCAAAAGCCCCAGGACTCTTCTGGGAGGGCATCAGCCACCCCTACCTGTCCCAGCTTTAGCACTAGAAGTCTCCCATCCTGAGAACCTCCCAGTCTCAGGCAAAACAGGATGGCTGGTCACCACGCTGCCTGGCAACACCCTTCACTCCGGGTGAGGGCCTTGAAACAGCTGGGTCATCAGGGACTTCAGAAGCGGCCTTGGAACCGGCTGGCTACAAATTCAGTGGTTCAGCATCTTCCGCCCTCAGGGGCCATGACACAGCTGCCAGGCTGCAGCCACACGGAGACCATCACAAGGGACCATGGCTTTGTTTTCTCTGGGCCACCTCCTGTGTCTCGGGGTGGATGAGCAGGCATAGCTGGCCACTCTCTGGGGGAGGGAAGAGCACTCGGGGTCCCACAGTTCTCTTCATGAAGACAGAGCAGTGCTGGTTTTCTCCCTGGGTCCCAGTTCCTTCACAGACATTCTCGCCCTGCTATGCAGAGCTCCCTTCTCCCTGCATGCCCAGGACTCCTGGTTCAGGCCTTCGCCAGCCCAGGGACCCATAGTGTTTGGGGTAGGACCCCGGGAAGGGCCTCATTGGGTTCAGTGGTCAGAAAGTAATAAATACATGGGGGTTGTCGTCTTCTCCTCTCAGGGCAGTGACTGGCTCTCAGCCCTAGAAACAAAGCTTCCAACCCAAGGGGCCCAGAAAATGCTCAGCAGCGCTTTTGCTTGGGCTCAAGGTACCTGATTAAACCTCCAAGGAGTCCAAGAAGAAAAGGCTCTCGGCTGCCACCTCTCCTCCCATGTGACAAGGCTCAGAGAGTCTGTAAGCAGCCAGCACCACTTCACCTCTGCCCTCGGGGTGGTCCAAGGCCCACTATGGCTCTAAGCTAGCTGCCCTGGGCCAGCGGCAGCACCCTCCCGCCACACGCTGTCTGGCCCACCCCCCGTTCCCCTAAGCTCAGACTCCCATGGGCCTAGGGGCCACCCTCCTCCAGGGTGCCAGGCCAATGGCCTCTGGCCCTTGCTGGGTGGGCACAAATAAGGTTGCCTAAGGTGGAGGGGCTTGGGTACCCTCCGGAGACATGAGCATGTCAAACTTGATGAGTGGCGGGGCGATGACGCGCACCTCAGCGCTCAGGGGGTTGAAGCGGAGGTTGATGGTGCGCAGGGCTGGCATGGCGGACAGCTTCTCCACGGGCACATCTGCTGGGAAGAGAGGTGACAGGTTAGAGAGGTAGAGGGTCAGTGGACAGAAGACCTGGAATATCAGGGTCAGGAGCAGCCCTCCGGGGCCCATGGCAATGGGCTCAGCTCCTGGTGGCCAGCCCCAGGGGTGCAGTTTGAGGGCCCCCAGGATTCTAGAGCCACCTGGAGGAAAGCATTCTTAAAAATAAGGACAGCAGGCTGTGGTAGTACAGACCTGTGATGCTAGCACTCAGGGGCTGAGGCAAGAGAACCACTCTAAGTTCTAGGTCAGCCTGGACTGCATAGTGAGACCTTGTTTCTCAGAAAGCTAAACAGGGCTTCCATATAAACCAGCAATTTCACATCTACATAGGATTGGATGAATTAAACCATGGTTACAGGGTGCTCAGAGCAGCACTGGCCACGAAAACTGAAACTGCCACCAGAGGGGTGGATAAACAGATCGTGGTCCATTCATACAATGACACGAGTCAGCAAAGAATCGTAAAAAGAACTGAAAAGGCCCCGAAGGGCAAGTGGTGTCTGTGTCTCTTATAAGTCATCTGAAGAATCGAGTTTGTGGGGATTAGAAAGTAGGACAGAGGTTCCCAGGGCCTGGGGGAAGAGGTGATGGCAGTTATCGCTTAATAGCTACAGGTCAGTTTTAGTAATGGGAACATTCCGGAAATGGATGCTGGTGATGGTTTCACAGCACTGTGAAAATGCTTAATGCCCCCGAACTATTTGTTAAAATGGCTAAAATGGCAAATTTTGTGTTACAGAGTCATAATTCTTTTTATTTTGGGGCAGGGTATGGTGGATTAGCTAATGGTCAGCATGCCCAGCTGAACTGAGTCAGCGTGGTGCTGAGTGTGCAGGGCCCACCTGAGTGAGGATTGTTGCCAACTTTAAAGGAGAATGCAGGGGAAGACGGTATGCTGTTGATTCTCCCGGAGAAGCCTGCCACCCTGGCTTTCCTGATATGAACTTGGCTGTTCTCAGTTTTGGAGGCGCTCAGGTCCTCGCTGTCACTGAGGATGCCTGCGTTCCCTTCAGGGAGCTCTGGTCCTTACTTGGACAATCACTTCCTGGCCCCAGTGCAGATCCCTCTGCCTGCCGACATAGATCCTCCATCCTCCTCACACAGACTTTCTAGCTTTCACTGCTGACCTCTGGGCCTTCCCAGCACAGATCCTTGATACAGATTTGAATGGGACATTGCCAAGGGACTGGACTCATGTAGAACACTGCTGTGGGATCTAGGCTGGATTCTTTGGGTCTCCAGTGTGTGGACAGATCTCCTACATTCTTTTGCATTTGATTCTTTGGGTGAATATTATAAAATAATCCTATACATTGCGTCTCATATTAAATCTTTTTCCTTGTAAACTCTGACTACGACACAGGGTCTCACAGCAACCCTCCCAAGTGCTAGGATTACAGGTGAACCACACCCAACTTTTAGTGCCACAATTTAAAAAATAATGTACTATGCCAAACTCCACTGAATTGTATACTTTAAATTAGTTGAATTTCATGGTATTCAATATACATGATATATATTATTATAATCACCTAATGTTATTATGTACCTCAGTATTACTGTTAAAAAACAAAACATTCTGTCCACGAAGTTAAGAATATTCTGGCCAAGAGAGAAGAGGCTGCATATGGGGTTTATGGGAATTCTTACTGATCACAGACACTCCGTTCTGTATTCCAGTGGGGATGAACCTATGGCACATGTGCTGCAGTGGGCTGTTTGTTGTCATTAAAAGTTCTAAAAGGTTCCCCATCACTGCTGTGGTGTCTCTGAGGAGTCCCTCAAGGAGGAGACCTGACTATCTTGGCTCCATCTAAGGATTCATCTTACTAGGACTCTGATACTCTGTCCCTCTGGGGTCATTGCCTATTAAGAGCTCCCTGGGAGGTCCCAGGTCATGTTTTGTGACTCATCACCCAGAAAGTCACTCACTGTTCTCTGGAATCAGAACAAACCAATCTCCTGCTAGAGCTCTAATTTCCAACTAACGTGTGGATTGTGGAAATCAAGTTTCAAGTTGTCACCCACTCAACTGACGTTAGGGCATTTCTCAGAACTCATCCAAGCCCCACATGGTAACAGATATAAAGTAATAATCTAACGAATCCACAGCTCAGTACACTAAGTTAGGAATGGGGGTCACGTCACATGGCACAGACCCTGCAGAACAGGTGGACCTAAGCCAAAGTCCCATCATTGCCTACTTGTGTTACTTCCCTGTAACTGTTTTCTGGTCTGGAAAACAGTCCTTTCTCTGCTCTGTCAAGAGAGTGGGAGGATGTGTGCACAGGCAAAAGTTGCACCGGTGGCCTGTTCTTGGGACTTTACACAGGAAGCATGCTAAGTCCATCTTAATGTCAATTTTGATCATGTGGTTAATGTGGTGCTGTTTATCTACTCTGTAATTACTGTTGTTTTCTCTCTTGCAATTAACAAGAGGCTGTAAGGACACATTTTAAAAGCATGCAAATACCCACTGCTGACCACCATTCAGCTTCCTTCCCCCTGATTTTGCACTCACTGAGGATTCTTGCCTCACTGATCTTCTGGATGCTGCTTTTCCAACACTCACTGTCCCCCAGCCTTCTGTGTAAGCCAGAGCCTTCCGTGCTCTCCCATCTGTTTATCACTGTGGACTCCTACGTTTCTAGTGACTTAACCAGCATTACTGCATTTAATTAATTTAATGTCCCCAGCACTTGGATTACAGGCATGTGCCGTTATGTCCAGCTTGATTATATTTTGATTTTTTGCAGGGGAGGAGGCATTTTTGAGACAGGGTCTTGCTATGTAGTGCAATCTGGCCTTGAACTCACTATGTAGCCCATGCTGGCCTTGAACTTGTGGTACTCCTCCTGCCTCAGCCTCCCATGTGCTGGAATTACAGGCCTGTACCACCACCCCTTGGCCTGATAATTTTTTAAAAATGACATGTGTTGAGGGCTCACTGATAAAAACAGAGATTAAAAAAAAGTCCACCTTTAGGGGATCCTGGGACCCAACAAGAGTCTGCCTTTCACTGCTGGTGACACTTGCTGCTCCCTGGGCCACCCAGTCAGAAGCACCCCTCTATAGCCCAGGGACCCCATCTCTAACAGAAGCCAGGGTCACAGTGCAGCTCACAGGATCACAGGACTCCACAAGTTTCCCATCCCAGACAGGCATTTGCTTGCTGACTGCCCAGTAAGGGTTTCCTGTAGGTCTTTTCAAACTGGACTGCACTGCTACCACAAACCCACGGCCCCAGAGATGAAGCCTGCAGACTGTATGGACAGGGAGGAGTGTTAGGGGTCAGGCTTCCCAACCCTTCCCAACCCTTGCAGAAACTCAGAGCCCAAAATGTCCAATTAGAAAGTTCCTAGTCCTGCCCAGGGATTGAAGAGATTGAAAGAGACACTGGAGAAAGAAGGGCCATCAGAGCACAGCAGGAAGCAGCAACTTGAAACCATCGACTAGCCTTTGGGTGGCTTTTGTCAGAAGAAAGCAATGCACAGGGTCCCTGGGCCCTAGGAACACAAAACTAAACCCCCTCAGGGGTGGAACTCACACACACTTAGAACAAGGGGTGAGAGATGCTCAGCCCCTAGGGAGGGCTGTGTATGTCAGACCAGACCTCAGTTCATAGACTTGGACAGCAGGATGTGGGATACTCAAGCTGACAGCTGGGTCCCCAGCAAGAAGACCAGATATCTGACAGACAGTGGGGCTGTCATTATGTTACTGGCAGCTGGTAGAAATATCATAGGCAGGCCCCTATGGAAATATCATAGGTGGGCCCCCAAGGAGCCAGTTCAGAAGACCAGTACCTTGCAACTATGGGGGAAACCAATGCTACCCCCTGTGGGCCAGGTCTCAAGACAAAAGACAAAAGAAATGCAGCCACATCCTAAGGATAAAAATCAGGGATTGATATTCTAAATAGGTATAGATCACCTTGAGGAAGCCAGGAGCCACTAACCCAACCCCTACAGGAAGAACCCGTTCTGCACTCATGCCCGCTTGCTACAAGACTCGCTTCCCATTTGGTCCTGATTTAATCAACTTTACCTGAGTAATTAACTTGTAATCTTATTGGATGACCATAGTTCTGTACCACCTCATGCCTGCCTGCTATGTGAGTTCTCATTTTTCCCCACCTTATATCTGCCTCATCTCCTGGTTTTGCTCTATAGAAATTCCTGGAAAAGGCAGGATCCTCAGCAACCCACTCAGGACCCCTTCTCTGTTGTTCCTCAAATTCATTCTTCAATTTTAGTGAACACAAACTCCTACCGGACACCTAGTAGGTTGGGAGTTTCTTTCCCCCGTATCATTTACCTCTTGGGCAAGTAGGCACTTGACAGGTAAGGAGGACGAGTGAGTTTTGAAAGAGAACAGAGAAGGACCAGAGTCCAAGCTAAGCATGGGAGGCTCAGGTAACACAAAGCTATTTCCAGAGGGCAGGTTTATATACAAAGCAGACCTTCCTCTGGGAGAAGAGAAAAAGCAAGATGGACTGAAGGTGCTTTGCACCCATCCCCCAGCTCAGAGGCCATCCGGAGGCCAATGTCACAGAACATGCAGGACAGCAGCCTGGTCTGGCTCCTTCCTGCCCCTTGCTGGGTCTGGGGGTTCCCAAGGAGCTGCCTATAGTAGGAGGGCTCTTTTCTTTCCAGCTGGGGGCCCCATCATCCCCCCAATAAGGGGGTGTTAATTCATTGGATTCTTTACTTTCCCACACAGCACAGCCAGCAGTGGAGGACTGGGTAACAGACACCATCCCCTCTGCTCCTGTCCACCCCAGCATCAGGAAATTCCCTTGCACTTGGCTTTTAAGACGTAAAGTCATTTCAAGGGCACCAACCTCCAGGGACACAGGAGGAAATAAGTTAACACACTGTATAAACGGGCCTAGCGAGCTAGGCTGCTTCTGCAAACTGGTATTTTGAGTTCTTGCTCTAGTGGTTCCTCACAACAACCCATAGGACAGATAAGA